ATAAATGATATAGATTGATGGATTGATAGGTAGATGAAGAGCAAGAGAGAGAGAGAGAGAGACTTGGCCAAAATCACTTGAGTCCCTAGATAGAGCTCAACCGGGATCTTCCCAATCCCGTTTGCAAGACCCTGGCCACTACACCACACTGCCCCTCTCTTCCCTCCATCGGAAGGAGGAGCCGTCAAGAGTCCAGCCCCAAGAATTTATACGCACAACCCTGGGCTTACACATCCCGGGGCGGGGAGGAGGAGGAGGCAGTTCTCTGGGCGTTTGTGTGTGTGTGCGCGCGTCCGCGTTGTGTGGTGTGCAGGGTGCCGTCCCCCCTCCCTCATCCCTCTGCCAACCCCCCCCCACTTTCCAGGCATCTGGAGGCGCTTTGGGGGCCCAGCCGAGCGAAATCCAGCGCCTTTAATTAAAGACAATTACTGCTTTCAAACGCCTCTCTTTGGCTCAGCAGCCTTGTTTGCAAACAGACAGCTGTGGGGGCTTTTGTGTCCTTGGCGCAATGGGCACCCTCCCTCCCCCCCCTCCCTCCCTCCCTCCGCCTGCCAAGCGGCTTCTGTTCCTGGCACCCTCCTTCAAGCAGCCAGCATGGGTGCAAAGCTTGCAACCCGGAAGGCGGCGGGGTGGCAGGATCGGGCAGTGGCAAGAGGTGCGGTGTGGCCTGCCAGATTTTGCAAAAGGACTGTGGTTTATTTGCCCTCTTGGTTTGGCACGAGGGGTGAGAGGGGGTCCCAGCACCCCCTTTTTCTGCAGGACCACCCAGGGAAGACCAGCCCCGGCAGCCTAGAGGAGGAGGAAAGCCAAGATGGGCACCTTAAAATGCGTAGCGCACACAAAGAGAGAGAGAGAGAGTGAGCGAGGAAAACAATTCGTTTTTTCTTCATGCTTTTTCTTGGCGCAGTTGTTCGGCGAATGATCGTGAGTTGTTAAACGAGTAACCCGGTTGTTAAGTGAATCGGGCTCCCCCACGGCTTGTCGGAAGGGGAACTGCATCGCGTGGCAACCGTCGTAAAATACGAGTCGGTTCCCACGCCTCTGAATTTTGATCGTGGGAATGCCGAGACGGTGGTCGGTGTGAAAACCTGGACCTGGGTCGCTTTCTCCCACCCCCAAGCGATGGGGTGACTTCAGATGAATCGCTAAACGAATCGTTGTACTGCGAGGACGAGCTGTAGTTGTGTTACGTTTTTGAGTTTAGGCTAAAAAAAAAAAAAAAGGTGGAAAAAGGGGTTGATCGGTGACGTCGTCCCAGCCTTTCTCTCCAAAGCGACTGGAAACAGGACGAGAAGGTGAGGTCTCCATGAAGGAGTTGGGGGGCCGTGACAGCAGCCGCAAAAACTCACAAAAGAGGAATCCCAGCAATGACCCACAAGTGATAAATAAATATTCCGAGAACTGGGGTTAGAGAAGAAAGAGGGGGAGAAAGAGAGGACAGAGAGAGAAATAAAGAGAAAGAGAGAGAAGGGAGAAAGAAAAAAGAAAGAAAGAGAAAGGATGGATGGAAGGAAGGAAGGAAGGAAGGAAGAAAGAAAGAAAGAAAGAAAGAAAGAAAGAAAGAAAGAAAGAAAGGGACAAGGAAGAGAAGAAGGAGGAGGAGAAGGAAGGAAAGAAGGAAGGGAGGGAATATTGGGCTTAGAGAAGAGGGAAAGAAAGAGAGGAGAGAAAAATGAAGAGAAAGAGAGAAGGAAGGAAGAACAGAAAGAAAAAGGAAGGCAGGCAGGCAGGAAGGGACGAGGAAGAGGAGAAAGAGGAGGGGAATAAAGGAAAGATAGAAGGGAGGGAGGAGGAAAAAAGGAGAAGAGAGGGAAGAGGAAGGGAATTAAATGATTGGAACTAATTATTATGTGTTGTTTGACTTTTTAATATATTTTTTTTGTTCAATAAAGAAAGCTTTACCCTGGCAGTAACGATGCAGCTAGAATTGATTGGTTGATTGATTGATTGATTGACTGACTGACTGACTGACTAGGTACCATCAAGTCAAGCTACGTTTCTCTTGCAGAGGGGATTAAATTACATTTCTCTCGTGTGTGTGTGTGTGTGCCCGTGTGCATGTGTGTGAAGTTATCTTTCTCTTTTCCCCCCACGGTTTTCGGGATGAATTTTGGTTTTTTATTTCCCTTGTCCAGAAGCCTCTCCCGGGATATATCAATCCTGCCCATCCTTTCCCCCAAGGGACGCTCAAAAACGGATGCCTGCTTGAACCGTCTCGCGGGGTTGGACTAGAAGACCTCTAAGGTCCCCCTTCGATTACCCTATCCGAGGTGCGCACGCCGTCCGGATTTTAGCAACCCTGCAGGGAATCCTGCAGGCATCCATACCCCCCCCGGCGCATACAAAGCAACCGGGCCTCCAAGCCAGACCCTGAACCCTGATTGGCTAAACCAGGGATGAGCCGGCGGCTCCCAGGGTCCCAGAGCAACGCCCCCCCGCCCCCCCCACCAGCCCCCCCCCTCAACCGCCCGTGGGAGGGGGGAGGGGGGGGCCCTTGCCGGAGATGAAAAGCTTTGCAAAGCTCCTGGCCGAGGGGGAGATTTGGGCTTTTGTCTGGGGTGTGTGCGTGTGCGTGTGTGAGTGTGCGTTTGTGTGCGTTTTTGCAGGCATGCAGAGCTGGTGGGCTCTGCCCCAGTTGGGCTCCCGAGCCCGTTGCCATGGAAACCGCTGTCAGCAGCTGGAAGCCCCGGCGTGGCTGGCTGGCTGGCTGGCTGCAGTTCCCGCGGCCGAGGATCAAGCCGTCCATCCGTCAAAGAGTAGAGCGGGGAGGGGGGGCCTTCTGAGGTCTTCTAGTCCAGCCCCCCCAACGTCGCTCGAGCAGGAGATTGTATTATTCTGGACAAAAGGCTGCCCAATCTCTTCTTGAAAATATTATTCTCTCGTCTAGATCGATGCAGGACAGGAGAGAATAAAAAGACTCAGAAAGGGACCTCAGAGGTCTTCTAGTCCAACCCGCTACGGTCTCTTCTTTAAAACCCTCCAGCGCTGGAGCAACCCACCACTTCTGGTGGCAAGCAGTTCCATTGTCTAATTGTCCTCCCTGTCAGGAAATTCCTCCTTAATTCCAGGTTGCTTCTCTCCTGGATGAGTTTCCATCCGTTGCTTCTCGTCCGGCCTTCTCAGGTGCTTTGGAGAATAGCTTGACCCCCACTTCTTTGGGGCAGCCCCTCCGATATTGCCCCCCCTGGGGGGCCGAGATCGAGCCCCCCCCCCCCATCCCAACCCGGTCTGAATCCCCCGCAGACCGGGCTGGAGACGGCGAGGGATTTCCGGAGCCATCCCAATCCCGCTCCTCGTTTTCGATTTCGTCCGGGGGTCCTCAGCCCACCCAGCCTCCTGCAAGGATTGAAGACAGGCCCCCAAAGGGAAACGGGAGGTTTTTCAAGAAGAGAACGGACAAGCCTTTTGCCTGAAGTGGTGCCTAAGCACAGGGTCGGACTAGATGACCTCCGAGGCCCCTTCCAACTCCGTTGCTCTTTTCTAAGAGGGTGAGCCGGGGGGGGGCTTGCTTGCACCACGTAAGACGGATCCCACAAATGCCCAACACCTCTTTCACGACACCCCCCTTACCCTTACACACACACACACACGCACGTAATTTCCCCAACCAAAGTGACTAATATTTCCACCAAGTGTCGAGGAAGCGACATTAACAAGGAGCTAATTAGCACCGCCGAGTTTCTTTTTTTTTCCTTTTTTTTTTTTCCTCCTTTTGACAAGCCCCCGTGTCAGAGCCTCTAATGAGTCTCGCGTTCTGCTTTTAATCAACGGTCTCCGTCACACTTTTAATTTAATTTCTGGATCAAAATGCCAGCCGCGAGTTCGGGCGGGCCGGGAAGGGAAAGCCGGGGGAATCTCTCTGCAAACGCAGCGCCTTTTGTATCCGGATCTCTTTTTTGGGGGGGGGGAATCTCCCCCCACCCCCATCCAAATGTCTACATTCCCACACTCCCACACCCTACACCCCCCCCCAGTGTCAATTTTTGGGACAATCTAGGCTGCTTCGACTCAGCCGCCACAACAGAATTGGAAAATAAATCTTATTTTTTTGGCGGTGGGGGGGAGAAATATAGCTAGTCCTCGACTTAATGACAATTCGTTTAGTGACCGTTGGAAGTCGCAAGGGCGCTGAAAAAAAATGGGGGGGGGAGTTAGGATCATTTTTCACACTTATGACCGTTGTGGGATCCCCGTAGCCACGTGATCAAAATTCAGGAAGTTGAGAATGCCGCAAGGGTGGTAAAAATCTGAATAAATGGCCACTTCTGAGTGCCGTTGAAAGTCTGAAGGGTCAGTATATGAACTGCTGTAAGTCAAGGATTACCTGTATGTTTTATCCACCCAGATAGAGAGGAGGAGGAGGAGGAGGAGGGGGAGAAGGAAGGAGAAGGGGAAGGAGAGGGAGAAAGAGAAGGAGATGGAGATGGAAGGAGGAGAGAGAGAAGGAGAAAAAGTAGAAGGAGAGAGAGAGAGAAGAGAAGGAAAGAAGGTAGAGAAGGAAGGAAGAAGAAGGAAGAGAGAGGAGAAGGAGAAGAGAGGAGGAGGAGGAGGAGAAAGAAGGAGAGAGAAGGAGGAGGAGAGAGATAAGGAGAAGAAGAGAAGAGAAGGAGGAGGAGAAAGAAGGAGAGAAGGAGAAGGAGAAAAAGGAGACAGAAGGAAAGAGAAAAGGAGAAGGAAGGAGAAGGAGGAGAGGGATAAGGAGAAGAAGAGAGGAGAAGAGGAAAAGGAGAGAGAAGGAGAAGAAGGAGAGAGAGAGAAAAGGAGAAGGGTTGAATTCTGGGAGTTGAAGTTTCTTAAAAGCTGCCACGGTTGAGTTTCCATGAATTATCGGGCAGGGGAGCCCAATTTTTAAATGCACCCACCCACCCATTCTCTCTCTCTCTCCTACCCAGGATGCCCATCCGGGACGTTCAAAGCCAACCAGGGGGACGAGAGCTGCGTCCACTGTCCGATCAACAGCCGTACCACGTCCGAAGGTGCCACCAACTGCGTCTGCCGGAACAGCTATTACCGCGCTGACTCGGACCCGCTGGAAATGCCGTGCACCAGTATGTCCCGCCCGACACGGTGGCAGAGAGGAGGAGGAGGAGGAGGAGGAGGAGGGCGAACGGATTTAAAAAAAAAAACAACCCTGGGCCCCAGCCCCTCAGATTAACAGATTCGTAAGGGACCTTGGAGGTCATCTAGTCCAAGCAGGAGACCCTACACCGTTTCCGACAAATGGCAGTCCAGGCTTTTCTTGCCAGCTTCCCAGGGTTAAAGCTTCCCACAACTTCTGAATAATTACAGAGTCGGAAGGGACCTTGGAGGTCATCCAGTCCAACTCCCCCGCCCAAGCAGGAGACCTTACACCGTTTCTGACGGATGGCAGTCCAGTCTCTCCTTGAAAGCCTCCAGATTAGAAAAAAATTATTCCTTTATAAACTAGGTTTATCCCATTCTCCTCAATCTCACGGCCAAGTTTTCCATGGCAGGTAGTCCTTGATTTTCGACGGTTTGCTTAGTGTCCATTTGAAGTTACAACGGGATGGGGGCGGAAAGGCGCCAGTGGTTGTTTCACACTTACAACCGTTGGTGCAGCGTCCCCGTAGTCACATGATCAAAATCCCTGGCAATCTGCTTATATTTAGCCCAGTCATTGCCACATTGAGTTGGATGGGAGCTCAGAGGTCATCTAGCCCAACCCTCTCCCTCTCTAATCTCCAGATCGCTGCCCTGAGGCCAGCGAGCCGCAACCGTCGTGTAATTTAACTTCTGCTTTCCTCTTTTCTTTCGGTTATCAGGCAGCCATTCCTTCAAACCTTCCCATTCCCAAGACAATCGTGGCCGTAGTGAGTTGCACGGGAGCTCGGAGGTCATCTAGCCCAACCCGCTCGCGCTCCCTACCTCCACAACCGCTGCCCCAAGGCCAACGAGCCGCAACCGGGTCGCGTCGTCTAACTCCCCGCTCTCCTCTTTCCTCTCGGTTCCCCGGCAGCCATCCCTTCGGCCCCGCAGGCCGTCATTTCCAGCGTGAACGAAACCTCTCTGATGCTGGAATGGACCCCTCCTCGGGATTCGGGGGGCCGCGAGGACCTGGTTTACAACATCATCTGCAAGAGCTGCGGCTCGGGGCGCAGAGCCTGCACCCGCTGCGGGGACAACGTCCAGTTCACGCCGCGCCAGCTGGGCCTGACCGAGCCACGGGTGTACATCAACGACCTCTTGGCCCACACGCAATACACCTTCGAGATCCAGGCGGTGAACGGCGTCACAGACCAGAGCCCCTTCTCCCCCCAGTTTGCCTCCGTCAACATCACCACCAACCAGGCGGGTAAGGACTTCCAAAGGCTTTTCTTAATCGATTGATTGATTGATTGATTGATTGATCGCTGGGCCTCCGTTTTTTTCTGCCTCGTTCTTCAGGGCTGGGATGGTCTAGGGCTCTCCTGACTGAGCAGGGTTGGACTGGAAGACCTCCGAGGCCCCTTTCTGCTCTATTCTGATTGATTGAAATGGTCTAATGTCTCCTGCTTGAGCATGGGGTTGGACTAGAAGACCTCCGAGGTCCCTTCCAACTCTGTCATCCTGTAAGAAACGGTCTCCTGCCTGAGCAAGGGGTTGGGTTAGATGACCTCTGAGGCCCCTTCCAGCGGTATTCTGATTGATTCATTGAAATGATCTAGGGTCTCCTCCCTTGAGAAGGGGGTCAGACTAGAAGACCTCCGAGGCCCCTTCCGGCGCTATTTTGATTGACTGATTTGGTTGAAATGGTCCAGGGTCTTCTGCTTGAGAAGGGGGTTGGACTAGACGACCTTTGAGGTCCCTTCCAACTCTGTCATTCTGTATGAAACAGTCTCCTCCTTGAGAAGGGGGTTGGACTAGTGGACCTCCGAAGCCCCTTCCCAACCCTATTATTATCTGCAGGTCTGGTGCATCTGCGTAAAGGACCCCCAGATTGCTCAGGTCTTTTTTGGGGGGTGGGTGGGTGGGCCTACATTGGCTGGATGTGGGAGGGGGGGCTCCCTGACTCTCTGCCCCCCTTGTCTGTTGCAATTAATTAATTGTGAGTTTATTGCAGCAGCTGTGAACATTGTCGCCTTCACAGCTGAGAAAGGGGAGGAGGGAGACGTGTGCGCTTTTGTGCGTAGCAGGTGGGGGGGGGGGTGGGGGAAAAACCCCCCACACTCGCTGACACACACACACACACACACACACACACACAACCTCAGTTGTCATTTTTCCCACGTGCTCCGAGCTGCCTCAGCCTTATTATCCTCGGAGCTGCAAATCCCGATCCTGTTGTGATGTATCTATTCATTAAACCTAAACAGTAACTGTCGGCGTGCTAATTCTCCCCATAATTAGAGAGGCCGCATGCATCCTCCTCGGGCCATCCAGTCCCTCCGCTTCTGCTGCCGCCGCCGCCGCCGCCTCCGTGCTCCTCATTAAGGCGCTGGCAGAACAGAAGCCAAGGAAGGAAGGAAGGAAGGAAGGAAGGAAGGGGGGAAATAAAAAAAAAAATAAGAATAAAAATTCAGAGGGGTCGTCAAATAAAAAATAAAAATCGCAGGTTTGCAAAACAAAATGAAACAACACAACAGAAGGAAAACGAAACAAACAAACACGATTCTTTCTGGGAATAGAGAGGCTCAGAATAGGGAATAACGGAGTTTGGGGGGACACCTCAGAGATCTTCTAGTCTGACCCCCTACTCAAGCAGACCATTTCGGTCGATCGCTCGATCAGAGTAGAGCTGGAAGGGGCCTTGGAGGTCTTCTAGTCCAACCCCCTGTTCAAGCAAAAGACCCGCCTACATCATATCAATCAATCAGGGTAGACCTGGAAGGGACCTTAGAGGTCTTCTAGTCCAACCCCCTGCTCAAACAAGAGGCTACACCGCTCCAGACAAATGGCTTTCCAGTCTCTTCTTGGAAGCCTCCAGCGATGGGGAACCCACAACTTCTGGGGATTCGTTGATCTGGGATGATAGAATTACGGAGTAACAAGGTTGGAAGGGACCTCAGAGGTCTTCTAGTCCAACCCTCTGCTCAAAAGATTGTTCAGTGGTGATGTCTCCCTTAACGACCGAGCCAGAAAAGCTCGTAAAATCAGGGCACAAATGCCGAACGCCTCTGAACTTTTGAACAGTTGAATCACACATATTTCTTTGCCCCCGTTTTCTTTTTCAAACGGGGAACTGCAGGCTGCCCGTCGTCGTCCCGTCCCCCGCCTTCCCAGACCCTCGATCCAACCCCCTCCCCAATTTTTCCCACACCGGCTTCCTTCCCAAGAGCCCCTTCCCACATTTCTGACCTGACCTCCAAGCCTGAGCCTCAGTCTGTCTGGACGGTAATGGAAAATAGCAAAACTCCCTTTCAAGCGGCCGGCCCCTAGGAAACCTGACGCTGGAGGGGGTGGGTGGGGGGTTGGAAGAGAACTTCTGAATGGAGTTTGGAAGAGAAGGGGGGGCAGAGGAGACCCCCCTCTTCAAAATACAGCTGCCCTCCGCCCCCCCCTCTCGTTCTTAACCCTTCCCTTCTCCCCGGAGACCCCTGTTTGGGTGTGGAGAGGATTAAGGCTGGACTGCTTTGATGAATGCAGGAGGGGCTTCTTTTGAGAAAAAACACAAAAAACAAAAAAAAAAGAGAAGGGGGGGGTTTTCCCCCAAGATTACAGAATTGGCAGCTGACACCAGACAGGGGGGAGAGGAGGAGGAGGAGGAATGGAGAGGGGGGGGGGACACACGCACGGGGATCTGGGATGGATTGAACTTGGCAGGATTTCAAGCATCTTGGAGATGGTGGCCAGTTAGGCTGGCTGGCATTTGTCCTTGGAAAGGGGTGGGGGGGGGGCTCCTCCTTGCCCCACCTCCCACCTCCTCTTCATCCTCTTCTTCCCTCCCTTGCCCCCCCCCCAAAAAAAAGAGAGAGAGAAAGCGGCTCTGTTTCCAGGATGAAGCGGTGAAAGAAGGATGAATCCAAATTTGTTCTGATCTCCGTGGGGATTTTTTTTGTTTTGTTTTGTGTTTTGCAAAGGGGATTTCTGGGGGTGGGTTGGATTTTTTTTTCCCTGCCTGGATTTTTTTTTTCTAGCTAAGCCCCATTTCTCACCCTCCCCTACACCCCCCGCCCCCGCCCGTGCCTGCCCAGAACAGATGTCAATCAAAGGCCGTTTGGGTAGCAACAGAAGGTGGGGATGGATTCAAATCTACGTATTTAAAGGCGTGGAGTTGAGTGGTTCATCTATATCTATACCTATCTCCATATCTCTATCTATCTATCTATCTATCTATCTATCTCCATCTCTCTCTCTATCTATATCTATCTATCTATCTTCTATCTATCCCTATCTATCTATCTATCTATCTATCTATCTATCTATCTATCTATCTATCTGTCTATCTATCTATCTATCTATCTATCTCCATATCTCTCTCTATCTATATCTATCTATCTTCTATCTATCTCCATCTATCTATCTATCTGTCTGTCTATCTATCTATCTATCTATCTATCTATCTATCTATCTATCTATCTATCTATCTATCTACATATCTCTCTCTATCTATATCTATCTATCTATCTTCTATCTATCTATCTCCATCTATCTATCTATCTATCTATCTATCTATCTATCTATCTATCTATCTATCTATCTATCTATCTATCATCTGTCGGTCTATCTATCTCCATATCCATCTCTCTCTCTCTCTCTTTCTCTCTCTCTGTATGTATGTATGTATATATCCATCTCTCTCTCAATTTTATACAGTTTGGGACCTTTTCTATCAATGGCTGGATGATGAAATACAAAAATAGAATATTTAGAATGTTAGGTAATAAGGAATATTATTGACTTTTCTTCTCCCTTTTCTTTTGTTACTTGACATTACATTTATAAAATGTTTTTTTTCTTTTTTTTTAAGATAGAATTATTGGTATGATTATATGATTTGTTATAGAATAAATGACTTAAATTATAGTTATCTCACAAGGCATGATTGAATAAAAGTATAGTCAAATCTTTTTTTTCTTTCAATAATGATATGAGGATATACAAAGCTTGGGTTGATAATAAGAGTTATTATGTAATGTAATTGTAACTGTGACTACGAAATGAATGCACAAAACTGATGAACCAACCGACACAATGTTTGTATATAAGTATCGAAGAGAGCTGATGTTTTTATGTTTTCTTTGTTTGTTAAAAAAACCAATAAAATTGTTTTCAAAAAAAACAAAAAAAGGAGACCCTAGGCCAGGGGTGGCTCACTTTTTGGGGTTCCCGTGGCCAAAATTATGCGCCCGCTTCCATGCTCCTGCTCATGCGTGCGAGGCCCCCAGAAGGCAATGCCCCCCCCCCCCCCGGCCCCCCCCCTCTGTGCGCATAATCCCCACCCTCCCCGCGGAGGCGGCGCCCCTTACCTGCACTGCGCCTCACAGCTGGTTTTCTGCTGGTTTGAGGCCTTTTTCGGCCTCCCAGAGGCTTCAGGAAGGCTTCTGCAGGCTTTGCAGGCCGAAAAACTAGGCCCATTTCATCACTTCCGGTATTTTTGGAAAAACAGGAAGTGATGAAATCTATCTATCTGTCTCTCTGCCTGCCTGCCTCTCTATCATGTGTCTCTCTATCATCTATCTATCTATCTATCTATCTATCTATCTGTCTGTCTGTCTATCTATTTGTCTGTCTGTCTGTCTATCTATCTATCCATCTATCCATCGATCTATCTGTCTGTCTATTTTGTTTATTGAACAAAAAGAAAACATTTAAAAAGTGGGCGTGGTGTGATCATTTTGACATGCCTAATTGCCTTCTGTAGCTATTTCGGACAATAAAGAATACATATTTATGTACATCAATATCAACCATTCTTTATACTCCTAGTTTGGGGGTCACTTGCTCCCCTTTTGCAACCTTCTGACCGGCAAAGTCCAAAGGGGAAGCCAGATTCGCTTAACGACCGGACTGCAAGTGACGCCCTCGGCCACTGTGGGGAGAAAGGCCAAAATATGGAGGCAAACCTCGCTTGACCCGTGTCTCATTTAGCGGCTGACATTGGAGGGGGGGGTCGGTTGCGGTCGTAAGTCAAGTAGCACCTGTATCTCAGCAGCTTCCACCCGAGATCAAAGATGGTGCTTAGATTATATTCTCTCTCTCTCTCTCTCTCTCTCTCTCTCCCCCCGTCCCTCCCTCTATCTCCCTCCCTCCCTCTCCCTCCCTCCCTTGGTCTCTCCCCCTTTCCCTCCCTCTCTCTCCCTCCCCCTCTCCTTCCCTCCCTCTCTCCCTCCCTCCCTCTCTCTTTCCCTCCCCCCACTTCTCCCTCCCTCCCTCTATCTCTCCCTCCTTCCTTCTCTCCCTCCCTCTCTCCCTCCCTCTCTCTCTTTCCCTCCCTCTCTCTCCCCCTCCCTCCCTTCCACCCTCTTTCTCTCCTGCAGCTCCGTCGGCGATCTCCATCATGCATCAAGTCAGCCGGATGGTGGACAGCATCACCCTCTCGTGGTCTCAGCCGGACCAGCCCAACGGGGTCATCTTGGATTATGAGCTCCAGTATTATGAGAAGGTATCAAGGAGGGACGTGGCGGCTCAGCGGCTAAGAGACGCTGAGCTTGTCGATCAGAAAGGTTGGCAGTTCGGCGGTTCGAGTCCCTAGCGCCGCGTGACGGAGCGAGCTCCCCTTCCTTGTCCCAGCTTCCGTCAACCTAGCAGTTCGAAAGCATGTAAGGAATGCAAGTTAGAAAAACAGGCAACCACCTTTGGTGGGAAGGAAACAGCACTTCGAAGGTGTTTCATCCTGCCGGCCACATGACCACGGAGACATCTTCGGACAGCGCTGGCTCTTCGGCTTTGCAACGGAGATGAGCAACGCCCCCTAAAGCCAGAAACGACTGGCATGGATGTGCCAGGGGAACCTTCACTTTTACTTTATCAAGGAGGACATTGGGGACACAGGAGTTGGAGCTCCTCCGAGAAGCTTCCTCAGCTCTGAACGAAGGAATTGAAGGATTGATATTCCTTGCGGACAGCTTGTCATTTGCATTATTTGAGAGAGCCCTTGAGGCCACTTGGAGATTTATCTGTGGTCTTTGAGTCACCTGAGTCGTGCAAATAAGCACGGAGCAGTCCCACAGCACTCCCAAGAAGGCCCCACACCCATTTGCACGACTCAGGAGGCCCTGAGGACGCAGATAAAAACCTCCAAGCAGCCTCAACGTCTGTCTAAAAAGAACGCAAATGACCAGCTTTGTCTGCAAGACGTATAAATCCTTCAATTCCCTAAGATCCAGCAGAGTGGAAGAAACTTCTCGGATGAGAAACGAAACATCTTCAAAGAAAAAAATCAGAAAGTCCAGTTGACTCTTGGAAAAAAAAAAAAACCAAGCACTTTTGGGACTCTATCCTGCTTGTCCCAAAGTTGCTTCTTCCAAAATTAAGCTGGACTTTCTTCTTCTTTTCCCTTGAAAACATTTCGCTTCTTGTCCAAGAAGCTTCTTCAAAACTCCTGAGAACCGAAAAAGTTTCTTCGATGAGAAGTGGGGAAAAAAAAATCCAGTTTATTTTTGGGGGGATGGGGAAAAAAAAACACCTCTGGGACGTACGGAGATAATCTCACATGGACCGTAAGATCCTGCCCACCGTTCGTGTTTAAATGTGTTTATACTGAATTAATCCACATTTATCCGGGGACGGTAAGGAAAACTCCCCCATTTGCAGGAGGAAATAAATAGATTTTGGACACGAGGATGGGTCTTATTTTTTTTTTTTTAAAGGCTAATTAAAATCGTGTTTAAACGGAGACACCGCTCACCCTCCCCACCAGAGATTACAAAAGCTGCATAATTCGTTCAGTGACCTATTTTTGATTGCCAGGAGAAAAAGCAATGCAAGGGTTGAGTGTGGGGGGGCGGGTTGGTTTGAGGAGGGGGCATCCGATACTGCATAATTTATTCTGCTGTTTTGCAGAATTTGGCAGTCGCTTCTCCCTCCCAGCCTGGCTTCCTCATGGCAAAAGGAGAAATATTCCTCTTTTCCAATGCTTTCCCACCACTGTTTTTATTTATTTTTTTTGCAATCACACACACACAGGTTGTGTGTATTCACCCTTTTTGCAAGGCCATGGTTTTTGCAAACGCCAGCTGGAAAATTGCCCGGGGTTGCGATGCTGAACTCGGGGCTTTGGCGAAACCGATCTTTTCGCAATATTTATACATTTTATATTGACATATTTATTTCTAAAATAGTTATGCATTTTTTATTTTTTTTTAGAAAACCAGAAAGTTATTTCTTGGTTATTGTGCTGTTTTGTTTTTTGTTTTTCTCCTCGGTTCAGTAGTGGCCGATTCTCAAGAGTTCCTATGTGAGGTCGGGTATTTTTGGCAAGGTTTTTCAGGCGTGCTTTGCCATTGCCTCCTTCCCAGGGTTGAAAGAAATTGGCTGGCTCAAGGTCACCGAGCTGGCTTGATGGCCAGGGCAGGACTCAGCCTCCTTGGTTTCAAGCTGGATGCCTCAACCACCGCCCCAAACCAGCTCTTGGTAATGTCCTCAGCGTATGATCCCAATGGATGTCGCTAAGTGAGGAATCGGTTGAGTTTTGCCCCCTTTTACGACTTTTGGCCCAGAGGGGGGAAAAAAATAAAAAAATAAAACAGGCTCCCTTCATGGAATTAAGTCAGCGGTGGACAGCCGTTGCTCAATATACCGCATATCGCTTTGTATTTTTTGCACCGAGTCAGGGCTGGGCTGGATGACCTCACGGGGACCCCTTCTAATTCCAAGGTCTGATTTCTCTGCCCCGTGTTGCATTATCCATCTGGAGTGGAGGCAAACTAGGGAACCCATGTTATTTTCCCGGCCAAGAATTATGTTCCCTTCTCTGTTCTTTTCCTCTTTTACCGGAATAACCGTCATAGTTTTTTTTTTCTCCCCCCCCACCCCCGGTAGGACCTGAGCGAGTTCAATGCCACGGCGGTGAAGAGCTTCACCAATACGGTGACGGTGCCAAACCTCAAGGCCGGAACCATTTACGTCTTTCAGGTGCGAGCTCGCACAGTGGCCGGCTACGGACGCTACAGCGGGAAAATGTACTTCCAGACGATGACGGAAGGTGAGTGACATCCCCACCTCCCATGCTCCCCAGCCACTCATTTAGTGACGGCTCAAAGTTACCACGGCCCTAAAGGGACTTAGGACTGTGTTTCCCATTTTACGGCCTTTCCCGCGATTAAAATCTGGATGCTTGGCACAACGGACTCGTGGTTATGACCGTCGCCACATTCCCAACATGGGGGAGGTGAGGGAGTCGCACTGGGGCAGGGGCCTGGGCTGGATGACCTCGGAGAGCCCTTCCAATCTTTCGATCCCTCGTTGATTTCGGGATCTTGTTTGAAATCCTGCGCCAAGCATGGGGATGACCTCCCGGGTGCCTCCCAGCCTCCCCTTTCTGCGATGCTAAGACTTCCTAGCTAGCAGGAGTGGCTCTCGGCCGAGGCCCGCCCTGGCAGGTAAAACCTGGCTTAGTTTAACTTCCCTTTTCCGCGGTGTCGTTCCAGCTGAGTATCAAACCAGCATCCAGGAGAAACTGCCTTTGATTATCGGTTCCTCAGCCGCAGGGCTGGTCTTCCTCATCGCCTTGGTGGTTATCATCCTGGTTTGCAACAGGTAGGCAGGAATCTGGAATGAGGGATTGTTCGGGGGGGGAAAAAGCAGGAACGTTTTAAACGGGCTTCCCGTTTGTCCAAAATGGTACCTGCCTGGGTTGTGGGTTGGACTAGATGACCTCCGAGGTTCCTTCGAACTCGGTTTACGCTAAGTTTCCTCTACACACACACATATATAAAGGAATAAATTTTCAAGAAGAGACTGGACAGCCATTTGTCTGAAATCATATAGGGTCCCCTGCTTGGGGAGGCCGGGGGGCTGGACTAGAAGACCTCTGAGGTCCCTTCCAGCTCTATTCTAATTGATCGATTGATTAATTAATTTACATAGTCTAAGGTCTCCTGCTTGAACAGGGGGCTGGACTAGAAGACCTCCGAGGTCCCTTCCAACGCTTTATATTATATTTCCAAGAAGAGGGGGGAACCGCCGTTTGCCTTGAATGAGATACGGCCTCCTGCCTGCAGGGTTGGACTAGAGGACCTCCGGGGTCCCCTCCATCCCTCTCTCTCCCATGTACCTGGGAGCTTACGGGTGGGCAGGGGCTGGCCCCCCACCCTCCGCACATACTCAGGACAGTTACAACTTCGGAACCACGCTGGGCCTTTGAGGGGCAAGGGGAGGGGGGGGTTTAAAAGGGGGAGGGGTCTTGGTTTTGGGGGGGCCGTCGGTGAGGAGGAGGAGGAGGGGGGGGACCCGCTGCTGAATCCCAGCCTTGCCCCCCTGCTCTGCTAGTCCGTCGGCCTACCGCTCAGCACGATGCTCTCCTTCCAGACGGCATGGGTTTGAGCGCAACGACTCGGAGTACACCGACAAGCTGCAGCATTACACCAGCGGCCACAGTACGTACGAGTTACGGGGGGCGGGAGGAGGAGGAGGAGGAGGAGGGGGTTGGTCGGGGGTGGGGGGTGGGGGTTTATCCTGGCTTATCACGCAGGCTTGTTGTCGAGTGTCGTGGGTGGGTGAGCAAATGTCCCATACTGTCTTCTCCTTTTGAGTAGTTACTCCGGGGATGAAAATCTACATCGATCCCTTCACCTACGAGGATCCCAACGAAGCCGTCCGGGAGTTTGCCAAGGAGATTGACATCTCCTGCGTGAAAATCGAACAGGTGATCGGGGCAGGTAAGGCCCACCTGAGGAGGAGGAGGAGGAGGAGGAGGACCGTGGGGTCCTTGGTGCTCTCTGAGCTGGGTGGTTTTCTCGCAGACGTTTCACGGCCCAACTAGGTTACATTATCAGTGCCAGAAGGGATTGGGGGTTTGCAAAGTGGAGGAGGAGGAGGGAGCTTTCTAGCCCTGATGATGTTCCCTAGTTGGGTCATGAAACGTCCGCAAAAAAAACCCCCACCCAGCTCAGAGACCACCGAGGAGCGCCACCCCCCGCGCCCCGTTTCAACCCTGAAATGTAGAAATGCGAGATTTCAGGGGGAGAGATAAATGTCTTTTTTTGGTGGTGGGGGGGCTTGCTTTTCCCCCTCCCTCCCCTCTACCCTCCCCCACCCCCCACCCCTCAGGAGAATTTGGCGAGGTCTGCAGTGGCCACCTGAAGTTGCCGGGCAAACGGGAGTCCTTCGTAGCCATCAAGACCTTGAAATCGGGCTACACCGAGAAACAGCGGCGGGACTTCCTGAGCGAAGCCAGCATCATGGGCCAGTTTGACCACCCCAACGTCATCCGCCTGGAGGGGGTGGTGACCAAGAGCCCCCCCGTCATGATCGTCACCGAATTCATGGAGAACGGCTCCTTGGATTCCTTCCTTCGTGTAAGAAACGTCGGCGTTACGGACGGTCCCGCCTTCCCTCGCGGGGGAACCCCCTCCCCTCTTGCAGGACACGTTTCGCTCCCCAGGGAAAAGGGGGGGAGGGGGTCTTGGGACTTGATGGATGGATTGAAATGGTGTAGGGGTCTCCTGCTTGGGGGGAAGGGTTTGGACTGGAGGACCTCCAAGGGTCCCTCCCCGCTCTATTCCGATACTTGGAAGTCAGTCAAAGACACCCAGAAGAGAAGGTTGAGGAGAACATCCCCCCCTTCTCCCGTCTTGGCATCTCACACCCCTTTCTTGTCCCTCATCCTCGTCCTTCAGCAAAATGACGGACAGTTCACGGTCATCCAACTGGTGGGCATGCTCAGAGGCATCGCGGCTGGCATGAAGTACCTGGCCGACATGAACTACGTCCACCGCGACTTGGCCGCCCGCAACATTTTGGTGAACAGCAACCTGGTTTGCAAAGTCTCCGACTTCGGTCTCTCCCGCTTCTTGGAGGACGACACCTCGGATCCCACCTACACCAGCGCCCTGGTAAGAGGATGGGAGGAAGGGATGGTGGGATAAGATTTTGGGGAAGGTTAACTGAGATCAGTGCAAGGGGACAAGCCAGGATTCCCTCAAAAAGCATCAAACCCGATCTCGAATCCCGGCCAAACCTCGTTTATTTCCCGCGGCGGTGAATTGCGTTGAGGTACAGCCCGCAAGGCTTGGCCCACAGTCTTTCAGGGGAATGTTTACAAAAACACCCACCTTATCACACTTGGCATGCGGCCTGCGAGGACCCCGAGGGGCGCGGCGCAAAGGCAACCCAGTCAGATAATCAATAAGCTCCAACTTTGCCCCCCAACATCCTGGTTACCTTCTGGGGCGGAGATAAAAACCCTCCCAGGAACAGCCTTTAGGCTGCAGAGAATCAAGTCCAAAACATGGTCAACGTAAACTGTCATTTAAAGTCCACTCAAGCCAAAACGAGGTCATTAGTTTGGCAGGGCAGGAGCAAGAATTCTAGATGTGAAGGCAGGGCGAAATTCACACGGTTGGGAAGATGCCAGTAACACAGATAAGTGGAGTCAACACAAGATAAACTCAGGTTTATCTCCCAACAGATGCCGCACTCAGCTTGCATTTCTTTTAAACTCTCATTCCCAGGTGTGCCTAATGAAGGGAGTCAGGGCCGCTTCCTCCCCCATAAGCCACGCAACCCACGTTGCTCCCTTCTCCGATCCTCCC